CTCGCATACCACGTTTTTGCACTGGAGTGAGGTTGGAGCTGTATCTTTTCGCGCGATAGTGATTAAGGAGTTTGAGAGTTGGAGGACCACCTCTGGAGGAGAATAGTGAGCGGGTCAGTGTTGATTTGCAACTCTATTAGGTCTAATGCTAAAGTAGCTTTGCGAAGAAAATTCGAAGACCTTTTGCGAAAAGATATCCTCCTCCTTTGTCTCATAATTTCTCAATCCTTTGTCTCATAATTTTTCACTGATGCTTTTCAAATTAGTGCTCAAAACCATTCACAATATCGTCTAAAACCTTCACTGACTGGTTGGGCTGAACGAGGTCTAATTAAACAGCACAACATTGGTATAGGGAAAAACATTTTTCGAAAGTGTGTTCGAATCCCGAAATTTGAAATCCCGAAGTCTCGTATGTAATGCTGAGATATTTGCAAAACTCCAGACCGCAGGTGTATGCGGTGGGGAACGAACACACGAACACGCGCTGTTGTCCTTACCGGGAAGCAGCGCACTTCACCACCACACCGTACGGGTCCTTCGTTGTGCCTGTCTCTCAGCTAGTCCCCGAAGTATCTTAATTTAACCGCTCAGTACCAAGAACTCAGCGTGGTGGCAGGTATAGACAGACATCACGAAGGGGTATAGGCGTGTTTTGCTGTTTTTGCAGCCGACGAAAAATTCTTCATATCCGATTGGGCCAATCACTAAGTACGGTAGCGGGACGCTTGAAAGCTAGAGTTTCGGTGCATCATTCTTCGATTATGTCGTTTATTTTTTAACGTTTTTGGTGACATTCGGTTAGGTTGTACATCGGGATTGAGTAGTCGGTCATTTTTTCATTCCTGCTGTCATTTTTGGTTTTGGTTTGTATATCGTGCCCCGATCAATTAGTAGGAAAACCGAACGAGGAAATGTTGTCCAAAAGGTACTTCCCTCAGATCCACATGGCCATGAGAAACTGAAAATGACCTGGCACGGTTAAATCAGGACTCCAGGAACGATCAAATTGCCCAGATCGCAATAGGTCGGCCTTAGTACATTGCACACTAGATGGTTTTGTCCATGACGTCAGGCGGTCGGACGAGTAACGAGAGGCCGCAAAACCTCTGGTAGCACAGGACGTCAGTGAAATCAGATTCGACGAAAACACATGCGGCACGGCATGGAGATTGTTTCCTAACAGTACGACAAATGAGGAGGTTGACCATATCCTTATTACTAGAAAATGGTGCCTAGTAGACGCATCTGTAGTCCCATCATTCTGTACTGGGCCCGACCCCTTCTCACCTCCTCAGCTCCTCCTTTCGCACGAACAAAACATTGTAAATGGAATTCTTTCTAAAAGTGACTGGCACATTAAAGAAGACCCGAATGAAGCCTACGAGCTCGAAAGATTAGAAGTTGTGCCGAATTCGCCTCAGTTTTTCAAGCAAAAAGATCAAATCGTATCTATTATCGCTAAGGAGTTGTTCGAGAAGACAAGAAAACTGAAGATACTACAAAACCTTAAACATGGCTAATAATGAATTCCAGTTGCAGGAGAGCTTTGCAGAAAGGTCTATATCGGTACAGAAAGAAGAAACTATTAGAAGCAACAAAGAAGAACCAGTCTTAGAAAACGGCGTTAGGACTTCTGTGATTATAATGTTCCGCTGTTAACCTTGATGAACGAAGCTGCGATCACCAAAACTTCCCGCATGATATGAAATTGATAATGGAAAAGTTCCACTAACTTCTGTTCTACATGAACCATGTCCATCCCGCATTCCCCATCCCAGGCATTAAAATCGTTGGAGAAAAAGCATCTGGAGTTCTTCCTTCTGAGGTTAGAATTGCGATAGAAAGTGCAGAAATAGGTACAGCTGTAGGACCTAACAATACCAACCCAAACTTCCTTAGCTGGAGGTCACAATTTACAGGTACTTCTCGCAAGCCGTATGACATTCTGCCTTCAAAAAGGAAAAATCCCAAACCAGTGGAAGACGTCGCGCACTGTCATCCTCTCCAAGAAACGTGACCGAAAGAGTCTTCATTACTACCGTCCAGTATGTTTGTTGAATATACTCTACAAGCTGTTGATAAAGATTACTCTTTGCCCTTCGCATGTCGAAGACCTTGGATGAGGCACAGCAAGTTTACCAAGCAGGTTTCCGACAAGGTTTATGCTGCATGGACCAAATCTAAGCGGTGTTCAGGGTCACAGAAGTTTGTTGGGAATAGCACCTTCTCCTAGTCTTGATTTTTGTCGGCAATTAAAAAGCACTTAACAGCGTCGAAATGAATGCAGTCCTATCAACGCTTGTCGACTAAGGTGTGGAACCGTTCCATATGCGAACATAAACTGACTAATGTTGGAACGGCAACACACGTGTGTAGCTTTTTCGCCAATTCCTCATCGTACCCACAAGAGAAAGATTCGACAAGACGACACTATATTGCTGAAGCTGTTTGCTGCCACATTGCGGCGGATACTCAAGCACTCGATTGAGATGAGTACACCTATCCATCGATAGAGAATCCCTGTGAAATGTTCATTTCGCAGACGACATCGTTATCTATTCAAGAAGTTCCAACACAGTAGAAACGATTCCAAGTGAACTCAGCGAAGTGGGAAAAAAGTTTGGATTGCGCATAAATAGGACGAAAACCCAATTCATGATGAACCCTTGGCGAGAAGATAAACAAATCGAACTGAATGATTATCTGATTACAGAGTTAATACCTGTACCTTGGGCGTCCAATGAATGTGGAAAACAACGTGAAGGCGGAATTAGGCAGCTGAAGGAGAGCAGCATGGGCCTCATTCGGGAGTCTCAAAGAGGCGACCGACCGACTAAAAATGCAAAAATACACCTTGATCTTTTCGTTTCAACAGTCTTCTGAGCTCCTTGTTATGCAGCGGAGACGTGTGGTGGTAAGACGAAAATGACTGTAAAGTGTACTTCGCAAGGATGCATCGGCTGGGACAACTAACTAAACGTTGTGCGGACTTGTTCCTAACTAAAGTCAATCGGCTGTGCTCGCAGCTGCCGATGCTTTACAGGTATGAAATTCGTACCTGCCCAAATCAAACAACCACCATGGACGGCGGTTGCGAGGTTTAGAAACCAAGGAATGTGTATTGTGGTCTGCACAACTCATGAGGACGAGTCGTTCATGTATCCAAGTAATTGAGTAATTTTTGGTGAGGCTGCATTGAACTAACAGGCGTTTCACTCGCTAGACCAGACTTCTCTTGAAGGTCAACCATAGCCAACTATTTGCTTCACAATCTCTGATTACACCCTCTAGGTCGAATCGACGTATACGATATAATACACAGAAACACACAGAAACTACATTCATGCACATCTGCACGAAACGTTTCATGTACATGGAAGGTGTAAATTTGAGGCGACAGAAAAACGAGTACATCCATTGAATCCACCTAGGCCTCTGTGCATATACATGGCCGCTTCTGATTAGTACTCAGCTCTCTTCCAACACGTGTGGACTTGCCAAGTAGGCTCGCTATTAATTGGTTCGAGTTATCTTGTAGGTCATAAAAATGACTGCATTCATCTTCGTAATGGAGTCGAAACAGGAGTAGTAGCTACGTAATGGCCAACACTATTGCCGTACATTCAACCTAATTTCAGATGCCGACATTGACAACATGTTTAAACCTCGAGCAGACGAAAAACTGCGAAGTGAGGTTCGGTTGGTTGATGTTGGGTCTGGAAACGAAATGGATGCCGATCATTCCAAAGGCACTTTCCTTCGTTCTTGCAGTTGGACGAATGAAGTTTTGCAAGCCGATCTATAGGTATCGTATTAGATCTATTGATGGAACGATGAATCGGGAACATTTCATGTCGTATTAGTTTAGTTGAAATGATATTCTCCTTTATCTTTGTTTTTATGGAATTCAGGAATGAATATAACTTCAATGATGCTGAGATATTTGCAAAACTCCGGACCGCAGGTGTATGCGGTGGGGATCGAACGCGCTATTGTCCTTTCCGGGGAGTGGCGCGTTCACCACCACACCACGCGGGTCCTTCGTTTCGCCTGTCTCTTAGCTAGTTCTATCGATCTTTCGCCACCAGCAATCACCCGTCAGCGTGATTGATCTGAAGGGCCCAAATTGGCAACGAACCCAGTTAAGCTGAGGCCGCAGTTATAATCGCAATTTTAACTTATTGTTTACTGCCTACTCTTTTTAACGGGAGGGTATACATTGTTAAATATAACTTCAATGATGCTGCGATATTTGCAAAACTCCGGACTGCAGGTGTATGCGGTCTGAGACGAACGCGCTATTGTCCGTTCCGCGTTATAAGTTAAAATTGTGATTATAACTGCGGCCTCAGCTTAACTGGGTTCATTGCCGATTTGGGCCCCCAGATCAATCCCACTGACGGGTGATTGCTGGTGGTAAAAGATCGATAGAACTAGCTGAGAGACAGGCGAAACTAAGCACTTGCATGATGTGATGGTGAACGCGTTACTCCCCGGAAAGGACAATAGCGCGTTCGTTCCCCACCGCATACACCTGCGGTCCGGAGTTTTGCAAATATCTCAGCATCATTGAAGTTATATTTCACAATGTATACCCTGCCGTTAAAAAGAGTAGGCAGTAAATAATAAGTTAAAATTAGGAATGAATGTTCCACTAAGTAAACTTTGGTAGAGACAGTTATTACTTGTATAGTTGAACGGCCGGTTTTCAGGAGTATTGCAGAACACAGCACATTTTCCGATTGTTTCTTTGCCTCGCGATCATCGTCCATGGTGTCGGTTTGATTCGACCAAGGTGGCATGTGCGAGTCTAATGCCGTGATCTGTTAAACGTTTGTAGGTGCCAGTACAGATGATTGTTTCTAGTTACAAATAGATTAGCACAACATGTTAGGCGTTGGTCTCAGAAGACGCTTGCATGTTCATGGATTCCGCTTGACAGTTTTTTCTGTACTTATCTTGTGTTCTCATTACTGGATGGATGGATATTTTCATTATCGATATGTATTATCCTGGTTCGCGGTAAGACGACATAGATTCCGAAGATCAGAGCTGAGCTTCCAGGCTGGATATTGTGTGTGCTAGTTGTATTTCAGAAGCCAACCTTCAAGTGCTCTATAGATGGAAGTTAAAACTCTTGACGTAGTTGAAGTATCGGCCCACGTCTTTGCTGCTTAACGGAGCTCAGCGAGATTTGTTGAATCCAAACGTTTAGTAGCACTGCTTTTCACGCCCTTTAGTTGGTCGCTAGCTTCATCGAGAGACTCGAATGCGGTCCATGCTGGTTCTCTTCTTCTATCCAATTCCTCCTTCATGTTGTTCTCCATGTTCATTGAACACCCAAGGTACACATACTAAGTTTTTTTTGTAATCGGAGAATCGTTCAGTTCGATTTATTCGTCTTCACACGATGGGTTCAGCATGAATTGGGTCTTCGTCGTATTTATGCGTAGTTCAAACTTTTCTCCCACTTCGTTGGGCTCACTTAGAGTCGTCTCTACTTCGTTGGAATTTCTTGGAAAGGTGACAATGCCATCTGCGAAACGAGGATTTGACGGGAATTTTCCACAAATACGTATGCTATTCTCGTCCCAATCGAGTGACTTCATTATCCACTGCAGTGTAGCGGTATACAGCATTTGATAGATGGTGTCACCTTGTCCAACCACTTTTACTGTCATTGTCCCAAGAAGTCGATGCAAAAGCTGTATTTTTATGGTAGAGTTTCGATAACAGTTAGGTAGAGTTCTTATGCAAGGCGATTCCACTCCTCAACCGACTAGCTACTCTATCAGCCCCATCATACCAGCGTTCGTTGAAGAGTTGCTTTTTCGTAGCATGTTGATAACTACAGGCTCCGCAGTATTTTCACAAATTGCGCAGTCTGTAGTTAATAAAAGAATTAAATAAGTTATAACCACAACGTTGATGAGATATTTGCAAAACTCTGGACCGCAGGTGTCTATGGTGGGGAACGAACGCGCTATTATCCTTTCCGGGGAGTAACGCGTTCACCACCACACCATGCGGGTCCTTTGTTTCGCACGTCTCTCAGCTATTTCTATCGATCTTTTTGCCACAGCAATCACCCGTGCAAATATCTCAGCAACGTTGTGGTTGTATTTCGCTTAGTAACCTGCCATGAAAATTATAGAAACGGTCCAGAGTTTTGCAAATATCTCAGCAACGTTGTGGTTGTAATTCGCTTAGTAACCTGCCATGAAAATTATAGAAGGCAGAAAACACAGAACGTAAAACATTGTGATTTCAACTACAGCCATAGCTTAACTGGGTTCTATGCCGATTTGCGCTCCCCAGATCAACCCCGCTGACGGGTCGCTATGAGCCGACTGAATCGCTATGAGCCTGTTTCAGATCGCTTTTCAACTGGCCTGAAGCTCGCACGTTAGCTGTTCAACAGTTCGAGAACAGTCGCAAGAATATGCACCCAATCACAGCCAGCATCATTGCCAAGATGCTCAGTTAAAGACGTGACATTCACCGATTTTCAAATTATTACTGTTTATTTCAGCTGTTGATTATTATCAATATTTTCATCATTCCCAAGACCGACTTTCTGTTAACCTCGGCATTAATTGATAATTCAATGTTTTTCATCAATAAGCAGACACGAGGTTG